AGTAGTAGTAGTAGTAGTAGTAGTAGTAGTAGTAGTAGTAGTAGTAGTAGTAGTAGTAGTAGTAGTAGTAGTAGTAGTAGTAGTAGTTAAGTAGTAGTAGTAGTAGTAGTAGTAGTAGTAGTAGTAGTAGTAGTAGTAGTAGTAGTAGTAGTAGTAGTAGTAGTAGTTGTGGTGGTGGTGGTTGTAGTAGTAGTAGTAGTAGTAGTAGTAGTAGTAGTAGTAGTAGTAGTAGTAGTAGTAGTAGTAGTAGTAGTAGTAGTAGTATTAATAGTAGTGGTAGTAGTAGTAGTAGTCGTAGTCGTAGTAGTAGTAGTAGTAGTAGTAGTAGTAGTAGTAGTAGTAGTAGTAGTAGTAGTCGTAGTCGTAGTCGTAGTAGTAGTAGTAATATGGGGGAGGAGGGAACGGAGGAGGAGGAGGAGGAGGACGAGGAGGAGGAGGAGAGTGAGGAGGATGAGGAGTAGGAGGCGACGATGCGCGGGTCGCTCGCCGCTGTGCGAGCCAGGAGGGCGGGAGGGAAGAAGAGGACAGGTGGCAGGAACACGGGGGAACGGATGGAGGTAGGGAGGCGGGGGGGGGGGAGGAGGCGGGCGGGAGGACGGAGCAGGGACGGTGGGGGCAAGGGTGAGCATGAGGAGGGGAGGATGGAGGAAGTAGGGCGCACGAAACGATCGGAGACTGGTGTAGAAGTTTGGTTGTGCCCATGCTTGGGATTCGTAGTGAGACTCGCACTAGCTGTGACAGTAGGAGTGTGATAGGGAACACAGCGAGATGATGATTAGGAGGGATATGAGGTTGATAGACGGAAGGCGAGGGAGTGAGGGAGGGAGGGAACGCGTCAGGGAGAGAGGGGCTAATGATGGATAATGAGGAGGAGGAGGATGATCAGGAGAAAGATGTTGTTATTGTTGTTGTGATGGGCAGCGCGGCTCTTGTGCTTTCCTCTTTGCTCCTCTCTCTGCTCCCTTCCTCCCTTAGCCTCCTTGTCGTCGTCGTCTTCGTCGTCGTCGTCATCTTCGTCGCCGTCGTCGTCGTTGTCGTCGTCTTCGTGTCGTCGTCGTCGTCGTCGTCGTCGTCGTCGTCGTCGTCGTCGTCGTCGTGGTCGTCGTCGTCGTCGTCGTCGTCGGCGTCCTCCTGATTGTCCCTCGTCCCTTCTTCCTTCCTCCTCCCACCTCCGCCCTTCCCTCCCTCCTCCCTCGTTCCGTCTTTCTGCTTCTTCCCTTCATTTTCTACCTCGTGTCTTCCCCATTTACCTCCCACCCTCCTGCCTCTTCCTTCGCTTCCTCCTCCTACTCCTACTTCCTCCCTCTATTGTCCTTGGTCGCAATGTTACCAGGATGGAGCAATTAGAGGAGGAGGAGGAGGAGGAGGAGGAGGAGGAGGAGGAGGAGGAGGAGGAGGAGGAGGAGGAGAATGGGGAGGAGGACGAGGAGGAGGACGAGGAGGAGGATGAGGGAGGGAGGGAGGGAGGGAGGGAGGGAGGGAGGAGGAGGAGGAGGAGGAGGAAGGAGGAGGAGGAGGAGGAGGAGGAGGAGGATGAGGAGGAGGAGGAGGGAGGAGAGAGGACGGAGGAGGGAGGAGAGAGGAGAGAGGAGGGAGGAGGAGGAGGCTTGCGAGTTGGTATGGAAGGGTCAGGGCTGTGGAGATTGGGCAGGGAGAAGTGCGTCTATGGTGAGGGCTGCGAGGTGGGCGGGGAGAGGCGTGACTTTTGTGCCGCCTTGGCGGGCGCGCGAGAGAGGCTTGTCAGCACGATCAACGAGGCGATGCCACTCGACAAGCAGCCCGAGCTCATGGGTGGGGGAGGGGATCGGCCTGAGACTCGCCCCTAGACCTTCAGGGCGTCGCGGCAAATGACATGGCGGGCGTTTCGTTCCTCGGCAGACATCGGATGCTGTAAGGGTTCCGAATTGTTTCAAGAGTGGTTCTGGTTTCTAGGCATAATGCCGCCTGCGTGGCATGCCATGCCGTGCCCGCGTGCCGTGCCGTGCCGTGCAGTGCTTGGGTTCGAGAGTGCGACAAGAGTGCCGTGCCGTGCCATGCCCGCGTGCCGTGCCGTGCCTAGGCCCGAACTGGGTGTGATCGCGCCACGGTCGCTGCATCGTACAAGTTGTCCACCCTGGAGCACCTGGCAGAGGCCACGAAATCTTCACGCCTGCGTGAGGATCTGCTTAGGCTTGGCTGATGCTTGGCTGCGCTTATTGTGGCACCGGTGGCGAGCCGCATTCGAGGCAGGTGCGTTGTCGCCGTCGTCGTCGTCGGCGTCGTCGTCGTCGTCGTTGTCGTCGTCGCCGCCATTCGTCGTCGTCGCCGTCACCGTCGGCGTCGGCGTCGCCGTCCCCGTCGGCGTCGCCGTCGGCCGTCGGCCGTCGGCCGTCGGCGTCGCCGTCGGCGTCGCCGTCGGCGTCGCCGTCGGCGTCGCGGCCGCCGCCGCCGCCGCATTCGCCGTCGTCGCCGTCGCCGTCGCCGTCGTGGTCGCCGTCGTGGTCGCCGTCGTGGTCGCCGTCGCCGTGGTCGCCGTCGCCGTGGCCGTGGCCGTCGCCGTCGCCGTCGCCGTCGCCGTCGCCGGCGCCGTCGTCGTCGTCGCCGTCGCCGTCGCCGTCGCCGTCGTCGTCGTCGCCGTCGCCGTCGCCGTCGTCGTCGCCGTCGCCGTCGCCGTCGCCGTCGCCGTCGCCGTCGTCGTCGTCGTCGTCGTCGTCGTCGTCGTCGTCGTCGTCGTCGTCGTCGTTCTCACAGCCGCCATTCGTCGTCGCCGTCACCTTCGCTGTCGCCGTCAGCGTCGGCGTCGCCGTCGCCGTCGGCGTCGCGGTCGCCGTTGGTGTCGGCATCGGCATCGCCGCCGCCGTCAGCCGTCGCCGTCGCCGTCGCCATCGCCGTCGCCGTCGCCGTCGCCGTCGACGTCGTCGTCTGCGTCTCCTGCTTTCCCGCAGCTGGCTGACTGTAAGCAAGCTGACAGGTCGCAGTGAGTGTGCAGCGGGCTCTGTGGGATTCAGTGTGGCTTGCGGTGTGCTGGTGGGATGTTTGTCCCCAGCGCAGAGCAGGAGGGGTTGTGGGAGAGGGAAGGATAGGGAGGGCCGAAGGGAGCAGGTGGGAAAGAGCAGAGGAGCAGCGGACATCCCGATGTTGGCTCGGAGTGGCGGCGGGGCGCCTGGCAAATCAATTTGACCTCGTCGTCGCCGCCGTCGTTGCCGCCGCCGCCGTCGCCGTCGCCGTTCCTCGCGCGCGTGGGCCGCGCGCGGGGTGGCGCTCCGCCGGGCGCGGAGCGCAGGGCGGCTGTCGAAGGGCATGTTCACGCTGAGGGACTCGCGACCGTGGCAGCGGTGGCCGCCGCGGCCCCCGTTGCCGCAGCCGCAGCCGTCGTCGATGTCGAGGTCGCCGTCGCCGTCGCCGTCGCGGTCGTCTTCGCCGCCGCCTTCGCCGCTGTCGCCGTCGTCTTCGCCGCCGATGTTGCCGCTGCCGCCGCCGTCGCTGAGGCTGCAGTCTTTGCCGCCGTCGCCGCCGGTGTCGCCGCTGCCGCCGCCGTCGTCGCCGTGGCTGTCGTCGCCGTCGACGTCGCCGTCGCAGCCGCCGTTGCCGCCGCCGTTGCCGTTGTCGTGCTCTTCGCCGTGCTTGTCGTGGTCGTGCTCGCCCTCTTCCTCGCTGTTTTGGGGGGGAGTGGGCTGGCGGGAGGGTGTGTGTGTGTATGCGTGTATGCAGTCCTCATCATCCTTCCCCCCTCCGCATCCGCGCGCCCACTGGGCGAAGGGGCCGTCGGTCTGCACCGTCCCGCTCGCTGCCCCGGGCGCCGCGGGGTCTGCTCCATGCGTGCCTCCGCCTGCTCTTCCTGTGGCGCGCTGTGGGGCCCAAGATCCACCCGCAGCGCCAGGGCGCCCGTGCAAAGACAAGCACGGGCAAGCACTAGACAAGAGATAGAGAGAGCCTTCTGCACCACCTTGGTCCTGAAAGCCTTCCCGAGGGAGGGGAGAGAGCGTGGCAGCGTGGCTCCCAGACGAGTCTGAGAGGCAAGACTGGATCGACAATGCGGCTGCTGAGGAAGGTGCGACTGCCGCTGCAGGCTGCCACTTTCGAAAGCCCACGCCGCACCCTTCCAATTCGCCTTCGCGTTAGAGCATCACGGAGGCGAAGCGTCGAGAAGCAGGGACAGCAGTATTAATAACCACTTCCTTCAATAATGACATGGGCGAGTGAGGAGAGACTGCGGCTGAGCCTGCAGAAGCTTACGATCCCAGCTTGGTACTGCTACTATTGATGCACTCAGGCCTGCATTGACAGGACCAGGTCGTCGCAGAACATGGTTACACTGTGGGACATGAGGACCACTCCATGAAAACTGCTGGATGGGCACGCTATCGATGTGACAGCTGAGGATTCCCATCTAAAGATAAATACATGAACCTCACACATGTAGCATCGGAATTCAATGCCGACCTTGTCAGCATCATGCATCAAGTAAGTAGCTCTATAATCTTCACCATCGCTGCAGAGCTTGCAATCATCATAGCCGAGATGCTTCAGACGCAAGCCGCAGAAAGTATCTGAAAGGAAAACCTGACTTCTTCGTTACCATCGCATATATCCCCCATCGTTTTCACAGTCATAGAAGCACTAGGACTCCAGTCGTCATGGGGTCGAATAGGTCTACCCTGAACATCATCTTCCCACCTTTTGATGCAAGCTTCCATGACGATGTCTGCTACTGTTCCATCCTGCATCTTCTGTATGAGCTTGTTTGTCGTTGACCGTGGAAGCGTCTCAACCGAATTGTATTTCAGTTTATGCGCACGAACGAAAGCAGAACCAATCCCTGGGTATTTGTCAGCATCAACTCCAATCTGACAAGCTTCGTAACCTTCATTCTGCAGCTGGTACGACTTATGTCGAAGAGGAGGTCGTTGTACCTCGGGTTGACAATAACTGCAGGGGCTTCCAGCGGAGTGTATAGGCTTTGTGAAAGGTCTCCGCTGTCACCGCGAGCTGATTAGTCACTTCTGTCCTGCCATGTCTTGTGCTGCCAGTTTCTTTCCTCTTTCAGTGTCCACCTCATACAACTTCCTACCAACTTCTTCTTCAAGAGGGTCACGGTTTTTTCATAGCCAACTCATGCATCGATTGCCAGGTCTCCTCGAATGACAGATCAAGTTGTATTGGTCACCAAACCCCCTTGAACAACATGAGCATGTAGACGACACCGCGCACCTTTAGACAATATCCAATGGTTCGTGACGAAGTAGGTGGGCCCTCCATGCCGCAGGTGTTGCCGACAGCACTCCACATTCGTAGCAAACATACCTAACCACCGGCTCACTATCAACCTCCATACCTCTTGAGTAAGATTCGATAATTGTCGCCGTGCTCTCGCTAGCCATCCTGACTCGCTTCCACGCTGACTTCGCTTTCTCCCGAAACTGCTTTGGATTCGCTCGCACAACATCCTATTAATGTATAAGATCTCCAGTATCTTCTTCCTCATCGTTTTCAGAAAACCATTGTAACTCGTCCTCCAGCATCTAAAACCATCCACCTCTGAGGTCAGCCAGCCGATCCATCAAGAAGCACAACACAGGAGGTGCGCTGACAAATAGTGATGCCAAATGAAGAAGCCTACGACGACGTATGATGAAACCAATTTGAAGTCGCTTCGTTTGGACCAATACCTCTATGTCCGTGGTGAACTTGGTCGTCATCTGATGGTGCAGTAGGCCCAAGAGTGTGCGATAGCTGTCTACCCTAGGCGACTCCCAGCGCTCAACTCATTCCAGACCTCCGTCGTGTGCAACAAATGCACGTTCGAAAGGGCGTCTGCCATTACACGTTGTGAACCGGGTCTGATTTCGGATTTTTCTGTAATCATTCGCCGCATGGGGTTGGACGAAACGCATTGTTTCCTCACGGCGGCTGCAACCTGGGGACCATCTGCACATTCTTCGTAAAGGATGGCGCCCAATGATTTACAGCTGTGAGCCAGACAGACACTGGCATTCCACTTCGGCAACACAGTGAGGCCACCAGGATGGTTCTCGGGTGTCGACCTGAATTCCCCAGCCTTCCACGCCGCGATGATTATGATGGCGCTCTTGTTCAGCGTGTAGTTGACCACAAATCCACGAGATGTAATCGCTTCGAGGGTTATGTCGATGATGGCTCCAGCATGTTCGACAGCATCCTCAGTTACCTTCGGCGCGGCTACAAGCACCCGCCATCTACAAATGAGGCATCCTCGATGGTCGGCACTTCACGTTCGTCAGAACAGATACAAAGTTCACCTTCTTGGAACAACGGCATAGATATGTCCAACTCCCTGATGCGTCTGGCTGCAACTGGTAGTGGCTTCACGAAGCTCAAGTTCAAGATAGCGTCCGCCAAAGACGTTTCTGGACGTGGACCCCTTCCTGACCTCGCCGCTGCTGCCCATGTCCTGGTGGTGAAATGCGTAGACCTATGAGCTTCAACCACGGCCGCGAATAGGTGAGGCTTGCTTCGCAAGTTGTGCAAGGCTGACACGATTGGCTGAGAGCCAATGTGTACAAGGGGATCGTGGCGATCAGCATCTCGTGACTGTTCAGTGTTCAACACGTAATCCTCGTCGACGCTCATATTTTGTGCCTGTATCACCAGTGTCCGAACCATTGAGTTGAAGGCTGACGTAAGGTCCACAATCGACAATGATGTTTCTGCCATCTTGGCTGCCTGCATATATGCTGCGGCCGTCTGTACCATTTGCGTGGGTCCATTCCGAACTCTGTCACAACATTGCGTGGATCGCAGTGATTTGGCTACTTGTTGCCTCAACAATTTGTGCTAAACCTTCGATGCCACCCCGTTCAGCACTATGCTCCTGTAGTTGCTCAACTCCGATATCGATCCAGATCCCTTAAACAAACGGTGCACAATCCCGTGTTTGCAGCATCGGGGGTTTTTGACCATGCAAGGTTACTAGAAGAAATATGGGGAGGTATTGTCTCGCGAGCGCCCGTGGTACCAGTGCTAGAAGATCACCCGTGATACGCTCGCGGCCAGCAGCTTTCTTCCTCATGATTCGAGTAGGACAGCCAGGCACCATCGCCGCTTCCAGTTAGACAAGATCCGCTCCATGGTGTAGCTCTCCATTGTAATGTTCACGTAGCTGGCTCTCCTCCAAGATCTCAGCATCCTCCGCCGTCGGAAAGAAAACAGCACAGCCTTTGATTTCATATTGCTTCATTCCAGAGGTTGACCATCTTCGACTTTGAGTCTTCTGCATGCTGGTTCCCTCCGTCTCCGTGCTCCGAATTGCAGAAGTGCTGTGCATTCTCTCCATTTTCCGTGACTGTCGCCTTTCTGGGTGCACTTAGCCATGTTCTCGTCTATTTGGTTAAGCAGCTCTACACGGTCCTTCTTTCTCATTTTCCAATATTTTGGCCGTTTGGTTCACAAGTAGGCCCAAGGATGTCATTACCTCGTCTTCTATGACCCACTCCGGTGATGCCGCCATCCCAGGTGCCGTCAAAGTCCTCCTCTTGTGATTTCCATTCTTTGTTTGGATGTTGATTCAGCTCGTCGCCAGTACGTCCTGCAATTGTGCTCCATGAGGGTTGTGGCTGCCCTGGTATCCTCCGTTTCGCCCTGGCTACGTTCCGCCTCAGTCTTCCTAGTCGCATTGTACCACTAGACATATTATCCTGCCTCGGCGTAAAACGATTCTGCCCCATCCCTTGTTGCCTCATCAGTATGCTTGGTTTGCAAGTTCACATTCATCTGTCCAGCCAGGTAGCGTCATCGAGTTGAGAACGCTGTCGAATTCTGTACCGGCTTCGGTGTCTTTCACTTTGACCGTGTCCAATATTAAGTTTTTGCTCGTGCTCTTTTCTGGGGCCGTGTCGAATGCCACCGTGAACATGACTGGGTAGTGATCGTTCTCCTTCGTGCCACTGTCAATCTGGTTGTTCACCCGTAATGCGCGTACCCGATCATACCACATTCATCCTTCAAGATGTAGTCTATTATATTTCTGTCTCTATGCTCCAAGCCTAGCACTCGCGACAAACGTATGTCCTCCCTCCTGCTGGTATGAACAGCCGTGGATGTGATAAAGCATCCTGGATCAATACCCCCATAGCGTCAGTCTCGCCGATGATACCTTCTAGAAGAAAAAGGAAGCCCAGCCTAGACGTCCTCCACTTGGCCTACTTCTTTCTCAATCGATGCGTTCACATTTCCGACTGCAACAAACGATGGCCTTGTAGATATCAAGTTATTAAGATTACTCCCCGGTTTGAGGATCCAGCTTTGGATGCCGATTATAAGGTGCTTAAACAACGTATAAGAAGACCGTCATGCAACAGTTTTGAAATTTGTCTATCAATGATGTCGGACCACTATGCAATACTTGGAAGTCGACTCGACGAAAACACGTTCCCCACTTCGGCCCATTGGCATTCGGCGTCTGCATGTCGATGATAAGTGCGCATCCCAATGCTTGGTCCTGGTCAACCGATCTTACAGCAAGATATCCATCCAGCACAACGTCTTTGCCCTTGACGGGATACTCCTGGCAGCTCGCTATCAGTACTCCTGCGTCTCATCTCGCATTTGCACTCGAAGCGCCTGAGGTCGTATAGCTGCCAATGGTTCAGGCTTGCCATTCCTGGCCAAGTCTATGTCCAGTTGGGCCCTCTGTAAGTTGAGCGTGGCCGTCGTCATCTCGATGTGATATGAACTTGTTGAATTGCCACCGTCATGCTGCTCACCACCAAAAAGCTCACGGTCACAAGCTAACCCCGGGCATTGACAATGCATGCCACCCTGGTTTATCAGGGGAAAGGCTTGACGGTCAGGATGCCCTAGGTCTCGATAATCAGCCCACGCCCACCCTTGAGAGTCAACCAACAGTTCCACCGCTTGCCTCGGCAAATCGGGTGGTGCATTGTCTTTGGCCATTTTGGACAGTATATCACAGCATTCAATCCATGGATGTCCCTCATGTCCCCCCAAAATGTTGTGTCATCCTGATGTTCCTCTCTTGTGCCAGCATACTCCATAAGTGAACTACGATGTGGATGAATGGTACCTTAGAATACGGTCCGCGAGTTATGATGTTGATCGCCTGCAAGCAGTCGCTGACACTCTCGGTCTCGACGTCTTTCGGCAGCTGGAAGACATAGAACATCGCCCAAATCAGTCCTGCCACCTCCGTCGAGAAAGGCGAGATCATATTATTGCATCCGTATGCCACTGACCTCGCTAAGAAGCCGTCGAAGTGCACCTCGCTTACACTTAGAGACAAAAGCGTGCATGTTCATGCTGATTTGTCAACCTCATCTTGCCAGTATGCCCCGTCCGTGAAAATGGATACCTTCTTCCTTGCCGTTGTGAAGGGCGCCGTTATACCCAGCGCAAGCGTAGTGTTTGGGTGCGGCCGTACATTCTGGTGGTGCATGTTGACGTCACTCCTCAACTTGATGTACCATGGGCATGACTCGAAAGCTATGTTCAAGGGTACAGGTATCTGAATTGCGCAACGTCGATCAGGCTCCACAGCAGCCCTGAGGTCCTGAAAGTCACTTAGCAAGTCGATCCCCCAAACGTCGTCCTCCCTCTCAGTCGAACTGATTAATACAGGCGAGTCCAGAGCCGTCTCGTTGTTCACTTCGCGAGCTGATCCCGCATCCACCAGGGGTGGTCGCTATACTGGGCATCGCTCGAAGAAAAAATAAGGCTCGTCATCCACCTCCTCGTCGTGCGAACCCAGGGTGGCAGAGACACGACCAGAGTGTCCCCTGGGAGCTACAAGATGGTGACCCCCTTCAGCATCCTGACTCTTAAGGTGAGGATCTTGTTCGACATCTGTAACTGTATCAGGGTTTTCATCCGGGCGGCAAACAACAATGATGACTTCGCCGTCGCCTCAGTAAGCGAAGCACCATCGTCCGTCCTACGCGTGCTAGCACTTGAGGGCCCCCACTCCCGCGGTCAGCACGCTCTCTACTGCTGGGCGACCTCGTGGCGGCGGCAACGGGATCCATGCTGCCGCACTTCCTCGCTGGGTTCGCACTCGGCAGGCTGGTGTCGGAAGTCACGTACTGATCCTCCTCCCGGTCCTGCGCGCCTGTGTCCTCCCCCGAGCTGAGTACCTCAACCTCATCCTCCTGATGGAATCCCCTTCTCTCATGACGCTTTCTTTCTCCTCTTCGCCGGGGTCCAGCTGACGAATGCCATGGCCTCCAGAATAATGTGCATCTCTTTGACCCTCTCCCGCTTCATGATCTTGAGTCTGGGTCGATGACCGGATGCTGGCACAAGGTGCGTGGTGACCGTATACCTCCTCTCCATGGACCAACTTCCATTGGCTTCGGCGCTCCACATTCCGTGCATTCGGTATTCTCATGAAGAATATCGGACAAACATACCAAGCATGCCCAACTGAATGGATAGCCCTGAACATTATCATACCATCTTCTTCTTCTTGCACCACTCGATCCGCTTGACTCTAGAGGTACATGGCCAGGTTTGGTCGTCCGCGAACTCCTCCATCGCCTGCTCCGCCTCCTCGTGTTTAAGCATGTCGATCTCATTCTGCATTTCGATGTGCTCCTCAACCGCCAGATCATCACCGGGAGAGATAAGGACTCCTTCGCAGTGTGCACCTTCAGGAGTTCCAATGTATGCCGGCCTTTGGCAATACACGCTAGGCTGGCTTGGGAATATCGCAGGACGATGATCTTCTCCAGTACTTTCCTTCTGCATCCGTTGCCATCCTCAACGACGCCATGTCTGTCTGTAACTGCTTTGGTCAAATGACCATACGTCCAGGACCAGTCATTTGGGTAACACCGCACTTGCCGCCGTATGCTCCTCGTACAATTGTTCGTCGTACATCTTTCTCTGTCGCATCAGATTCTGCTGGTGCTCAAACTTGGCCACACCATTCGTGCCGTAGACGCCTATATACGTGTCATTCAGCGTAACTTTGTTCGCCTCTTCAACATTCCTTCTCTCCATACATGTTCCTCCATATTCTCTGTTTCTATCGCCTTGACGTGCTCGATCTGCTTCGCCCAGCTCCTGCGCTGTTGCTGAAGTTCGACGTTCGCATGATGGTTGTCAGCTGCTCGCTTCTGCTCCTGTATGAAAAGCTCCTGCTTGTACAACTACAGTGACTCCATATTCACTCTTCTTTCCCTCTCAAGGTTTCCTCTGATCAAAATCGCCAGGTAAATAGCTGCTTCGAATGCCTCTCTGTGTTCTTTAACCGCTGATTCGAAATGCAGTGACCTCCTCTCCGCCTCAATATTCCCCTCGTACATCTGCAGACTCTGCGCATTCACTTTCTCCTTTTGCTTCTGAAGTGCCAGCAGTAATTCTTGCTCTTCGTGCGCGTACGAGTTCCTTGTGGCTCCATCTCTCATCATGATCTCGTACTCCATGTATTCCTTCACGTTAGCTGCGCTCTTGCTGACTTGCTCGACATGCGCCGTTGCCCAGCTTGTCGTCTCATACTTACCCAACTCCACCTGCTCACCCAAGAGCTTGCTGGCTCTGACTTCCGCTTGAAACGCTCGACTCTCAACCATGCTTTGCGTCACCTGTTTCTCCATCTCTACCTTGACCTGCATTGGTGTCTCACACATATTGTTTCTTGCTGCGATCGTAGGGCTCGTCAATGGGCGACGTGGAACACCCGACTTGGCTGCCCCCGGTGGAGATGCTGCAACATGCTGTACTGGTCGTCCCGTCATGCCCCCTACGCTTGGCCTGTAGAAGAGGCTATCGAAAGACTGCTTGCGGGTCGCTGCCAACTTGTTCGTCATTGTAGAGGCCAGTTTCGCAACATTAAATTGCTTCGCAAGTGATTGGTGTGTCTTTGATCTTGGCGGCGGGGGCGGCGGGGGTGATGGCGGGATGCCTTCTGATTCTGAGCTCGTTCTCGCTGCCCTTGCCAGAGACTTCCTCCTATCATGGCCATCTGCTTTCGTGCGCCTCTGCTGGTAATCCTTGATTGAGCACAGCCTCCTGAAGCAAGTCCTCTCAATATGAGAACGTGTATCGCCGCGTATTCAAGAACATTTCCCAGTCTGGTGTCTCTGAGTGTAACTTTCCAATGTTCTGCGCCGATCTCAAGATACCCTCTCTGGCCTCCCGCTCCTGGTGCAGGGGTGTCTTCGCTATCCACCACATGTACTTGTACACCGAGAGCTTCTCGTGCGCTGCCGTCTCTGTGCGTGCCTCTTTTCCTTTTCAGTATCATCTCCGCCACCTTCTGCATCTTTTCTTGTGTCTTTGCTTGGTACCTGGCCAGTTCACTCTCACGATGTGGTATCGGTACATATACGGCGTGAGCATGAGCATACGCCGTCGCGTGGTGCAAATCATTGTGTCCTGGAAAACATGTTTGATAAGTTCCCTCTCCTTCTGTATCTTGACCGTACTCCTTCCATCTCCGATCATCCAGGTTTGCTGCGTCGTCCATGTCGTACTGCATCTCCTGTTCCCTCACCTTTGGCATTGATCTGCTGGCACGCCGTGAACGTCCAGCTTTCTGATGCCGACTCTGACGCCACTTTAGTCTGGGTTTCTTGATAAGCGTGGGGGGGTACCCCCCCGACGGGGGTCAACCTCGCCTCCTCGTCGCGCTGCGACGGAGGTCGGAGCGCTTTCGGCGCGCGATGGCTCGCCCGCGACGGGGGTCGACGTGGAGCTGTCGGCGGGGGTGACGCCCCCCCCCGACGCTCCTCCAGAGGCTCGGAGCGTGTGCCTGCAGCTCCACAGGCCGTGGTGGAGCCGAGGCCGTCGAGGCGCGCCCGCCTCCGGCCGAAGCGCGCCTTCGCGCCCTTCCGCGCGCCGCCCGCGCCGCCCTCCCGTGCCACGGGCAGCCGCGAGCGCCTAACCTCCCCCCCTCCCGCCTCCGCGGCGGCACCCCTGCGGGGGCGTCCGGGGGGGGGGGCGCTCCGCGGGCCTCGCGCCGAGCGGCGTCCGCGGCGGCGCGCGGGAGGGCGCGCGCGCGCGCGCAGACGCAGACGCAGACGCGCACGCGCACGCGCACGCGCACGCGCACGCGCTCGGCAAGCTCGCATGGGCGCGCGGCCGCGCGCGCCCGCCCCCGCCCCCCCCTCCCCCCCGCGCACGAGGGGTCGAGGCTCCTCCTCCTCCTGCTCCTCCTCCTCGCCGTCCTGCTCCTCCCTCGCCCTCCTCTCCCTCTCTCTCTCTCTCTCTCCTCGCTTCCCTCCCGCCCTCGTCGTCCTCCTCCTCCCTCCTCCTGCTCCTCCCCCCTCTGTCCCTCCTCTGCCTCCTCCTCGTGCCCCGAGCCCGAGCCGTGCCTCCTCAGACATCGTCCCCTGGACCTCTCCCCGGGTGCGTTTTGACCAGGATGTCCAGGAGGGAATCCAGCGGCGGCAACGAGAGCCTGCGGGAGGCTCAAAAGGTTGAAAGTCGGGCGTGTCCCTCTACAGGGGGAATCTTCAAACATAGTAAAATAATAGTCTGGGGACGATGTTCGGCATCTATTTTTCATATACATCTCTCTCTCTCTGTCTCTCTCTCTCTCTATATATATATATATCGCCCAAACTCCGCCTGTAGGGGGACATGCCCGACCTAATCAAAAGGTTCAAGGGCAAATCCCTGGATCCTCGATCCTCGACCCTCGAACCCCAGGACATGTACGAGCAGCTGGAGTACGTCACCAAGCTCGGCTCCCTGCAGACGGTGATGTCGATGATCCCCGGGACGCGGCCGCGGGCGTCAGGGTTGCCCTTCCTCCTCCTGAGCGCAGTCGCAAAACGCAGCCCTCTCTCTCTCTCGTCGTCGTCCTCCGCCTCCTTCCTCGCTGTCCCGTCTATTGCTCCTCCCCTTCCCCCCCTTGTTCTCCTGCTCATCCCCCTCCTCCGGCTTTGTCGTCCTCGTCCCCTACCTCCCCTTCCTATCAGTGCTCCTGAATTGTGCATACTTTCAGGCGCTTCGTTCTCGCCCGGATGATGTCACCATCCATGCTCTTCAAGCTTACCTATCAGAGAAGTCCATGCGGAGTCGACGCTCTTCCTCTCGGCATGGACGTTGCCTAGTCCTAGTTGCAGGCCGCGAGCCCTCGAGCAGAACGCTGGTTTTGTTTGAAAGGCCGAGCTCTCTCCCCTATTTGCGCCCTCGCTTGGTCGCGGCGCGCGTTCTGCCTGTGCCCAAGATTTCGTAAGTGGTACCAGCTCGGATCCTTTCGGGCTCCTCTTGGGCCCTAGCTGGGTTTCTGGGGGGCCCTCTTGGGCCATCTGGGGGCCGTCAGAAGATTTCTGAGGCCCATCTGAAGGAGGACAGGCAAGAAGTTCAAAACCGCTCAAAGACTGTAATGTCCTGAGGATTTCACTTCTACTCAAGAGGATTTTGCCATTCTGCCGACCCCCAGAAGAGGCGGGGAGTCCACGGTTGAGGCGTCGTGGGCGTTTTAGGCATTATTTGGGGGCTCTTGCCGGCGTCTTGGGAGCTGTTTCGGGGCCTGGCGGAGCCTCTCGGAGGCAGTTTTGACGCGTCTCGGGGGCTGGGGGCCCTTTGAGGCTTATTGGGGGCCTCTTTCGGGTCGCTTCGGGGCTTCTTGGGGCCGTTGGGGGGCCTCTTCAGGCGGAGAGATAGGAATTTCGGTTCGTGTTCTTCCTCTTGGCCTCTCTTGGGGCCTTGCTTGGGTAATCTTTGGCAGTCTCGGGCCTCTCTTTGGGACGTCTTGGAAACCTCTTGGCCCGTCCTGGGGCCCTCGTAGGGGCTACTTCGGCAGTTTTGGGGCGATCTACGGGGCCTCTTGGGCCGTCTTGGAGCGTCGGGAGCTCGAGAAGACGCAAACCCCACAAACAATTGAAAACCAAAGGAAAACAATGGATTTTCGCCTCTCGGGTCCCTCTTGGGAAGATTCTAGGGCCTCTCTTGGGGCGTCGCGAGGGCGTCTTGGGGCGTCATGGAGCCATCGTAGGCGTCGTGGGCCACTCGTCCGACGACTCGGGACCGTCTGGGAACCTTTTTGAGGCCACGGAAGGCACCTGTGGAAGCTCCGGAGTCTCCGGGGGGGTGCGCCCAGGAGCCCGGGTACCCCGAACCCCCTAAACGAGATTTCTGGACCCTGGGGGAAGGGGAGAGTGGGAGGGGGACAGCCCCTGAGTCTCTGGGGGCTACGCCAGGGAGCCCGGATACCCCCGACCCCCTAAACGAGATTCTAGACCCTGGGGGAAGGGGAGAGTGGGAGGGGGACAGCCGCTTATCTCACGCGCCATCTCACCCCTGCAAGCAGGGGTCGGCGAACTCGAGGCCAGACTGCCCCATCGTGGAGGCAATCTCGGGTCATCCTGGATAGTGTGCGGACTCACCATGGGCTATCTGGAGCCACCCTGGAATTATTGAATCGCTTCGCTCATTCCGCCGGCCCGTATTGTGCCATCGCGGGTTCTTGGGGGGTCTCGGGAGCCCTTGGAAGCTTCGTGGGAGCTTCTTGGGAACTTTGGGAGGCCTCGTGGATGGCTCTGGGTGGGCCCTCTTGGTGGTCTCTTGGGGGGGTCTGCCTGGCCTCTTGGGGGCCTCCTGGGAGCTTCCTGGGGGTCTCTTGGGGGCCTCTTGGGGCTGTCTTGCGGCCTGTTGGGGGCCTCTTGGAGCTCTCTTGGGGGCTTCGTAGGGCTACTTGGGGGCTTGTAGGGGCATTTCGGGGGCGTGTTTGGGCGGGAGGCTCAAACTTTCCGTTCAGGTTGCCCCTGTGGACCTCAATCATGGGGCCGTCTTGGGGCCTCTTGGACCGTCTTGAGGGTTTCTTGGGCATTCTTGGAGCGCTCTTGGGCCGTCTTTGAGCCGCCTTGAGGGTCTCTCGGGCCTTTCCTAAGGGAATGAGACGGTTTTGCTTGTGGGAGCCCTCTTGGGACGCCGCTTAGGGACCTCTTGGGGCGTCTTGAAGGCCTGTGGGGCCGTCTTGAGGCCATCGTAGGCGCTTGGGGGTGATATTTCGGCGTCTCCCGGCTCTCTTGGACCGTCTGGAGGGCTTCTCGGGCCCCTCTTGGACCGATTTGGAGCCCTCCTGGGCTCCGAAAAAGAGTTCTTGAGGGTTTCTTGGGCCTTCTTGGAGCGCTCTTGGGCCGTCTTTGAGCGGTCTAGAGGGTATCTCGGGCCGTCTTGGGGTGATCTTGGGGGCCTCTTGGACCGCCTTGAAAGGTGTGAAAGACGAAGAGGCGGATATGTTAAAAACATGCACGTTTTCCTAAGGGAATGGGACGATTTTTGCTTGTGGGAGCCCTCTTGGGACGCCGCTCAGGGACCTCTTAGGGACCTCTTGGGGCGTCTTGAAGGCCTGTTGGGCCGTCTTGAGGCCATCGTAGGCGTTTGGGAGTGATATTTCGGCGTCTCCCGGCTCTCTTGGACCGTCTGGAGGGCTTCTCGGGCCCCTCTTGGAGCGATTTGGAGCCCTCCTGGGCTCCGAAAAAGAGTTCTTGAGGGTTTGTTGGGCCTTCTTGGAGCGCTCTTGGGCCGTCTTTGAGCGGTCTTGAGGGTCTCTCGGGCCGTCTTGGGGTGATCTTGGGGGCCTCTTGGACCGCTTTGAAAGGTGTGAAAGACGAAGAGGCGGATATGTTAAAAATGCACGTTTTCCTAAGGGAATGGGACGATTTTTGCTTGTGGGAGCCCTCTTGGGGCGCCGCTTAGGGACCTCTTGGGGCGTCTTGAAGGCCTGTTGGGCCGTCTTGAGGCCATCGCAGGCGTTTGGGAGTGATATTTCGGCGTCTCCCGGCTCTCTTGGACCGTCTGGAGGGCTTCTCGGGAGCCCTCCTGGGCTCCGAAAAAGGACCTTGCCGGGCCCTTGCCGGGACCTTGCTGGGACCTTGCCGGGACCTTGCCGGGACCTTGCCGGGACTTTGCCGGGGTATTTTTCGTCCGGGGACTCCCAGGGCCCGCCCCGCGCGCGCGAACTAGAAATATTGTTGGGCAGTTACCGGAGATCTTAGCACGCCTCTGGCCCGTTGGGCCGGCGAATTTTGTGACATCCGTGGTGGGCCTCGAGGGCCTGGCGGGCGGTTCTGGAGACCCTTCGCGGGCTCAGTGGATCGTAGCACAAATCGTTGAGGAATTCGTCCAGGGAGGGGGATAATACGGGGAGAGGGGGCGGCGGAAAAATCATCCGTCCCACGGGACGGCTCCATAGTGCGGGGAGCCCGCGGAGAGACTGGAGGGACATGATACAGCGATGTGCTTGAACATTGAGACGTCGTGCGGCGTGGCAGAAACGAAGACGACATCGACGGCGACAACGACAACAGGGACGACAATGACGAAACAATGACGAAGGGACGGACCAATACAACAGGAGGACGGGGACGGCAGGACGGCACGACAACATATACGACGACCATAACCAGGGACGACAGGGACGACCAAGTACAACAGAAGGGCGGGGACGGCAGGAAGGCACGACAGCAAGCACGACGATCATCACCAGGGACGACCTGGACGACCAAGTACAACAGAAGGGCGGGGACGGCAGGAAGGCACGACAGCAAGCACGACGATCATCACCAGGGACGACCGTGACGACGACACGGGGACGACGAACCAGACGACACCGGGGACCACAACGACGCAGCAAGGGCGACGGTCGGGGCATGAGGGACAGCCAAGGCAGCCGCACGCCGGCCCCCCCCCTTCGGCAGGCAGGAGGGCACCTGCTCTGGCCCATCTTCGCGCCGCTCCGGGCGCGAGGCCCTCGCGTGGGCCTCCAGAGGTGTGCTCTGCACCGCTGCCCGTCGGTCGGCGAAGGCGGGTATTTTTTGGGGTCTTCGGATCCAGATGGATCTGCCTTTGGCGTCTTCCTGCTTCAGTGATCGAGTGGTTTTCTTTTCTCCCTCCTCTTCAAGGGGCGGGCGGACACCCAATCTACTTCCAACGCCTTCCTGCTTCGTGTTTTTACGCACTCCTTCCGACCGACGGGTACCACGTATCCTGACGTGGACTTCTGAGTGTCGTGCCGACCGCACTGATGGTCCCTCTGCCTCGTGCCCCCGGCACCGGAGGATGAATCAAGATATGCTTCCCGCAGGCTACGAGAAAGAAGGCCCCCCTTCCTGGGCTTTGCCGCCATCGTTTTCCTTCCGCTTCTTCGTCGCCGTCCTGCTTTCACATCGTGGATCCCGCGGCAACCATTCTGTCAGCATGTGCGCCTCTTGGAACCCAGCTCGTGGTCCTCCCTGGCGCGCTTCAAGTGGCGGCCAGCCAGGTCCAGCGGACGAACAGGCTTATCCTCTAGTCCTGATGCCTTACACAGTGTTCCAGATCCCTCCTCATGCCCTTTTTCCACAGTACTCTGCAGAAGGACCAGAAGCTGCAGCGATAAGACATCCTGGATGCTGCTCTGAAACACGGAGCTGAACAGATCTAGCATCAATCTCCTCAATCGTCGCTTCTACAAGAAGCGGGGGTGGTGGCATGAGAGGGGGGGGGGAGAGAGGGGAGTGTTTCCCCATCTGTCTGGCATCTCCTTCTTTGCTTTTGTCCCCATCCTTCCTCCCTCCTCCCTCCTCCCCTCCGACCGCTCCCGCCCTTCAATCTTGCTGGCCACACCATCGCCGAGCACCCCGCATCATCTCTGGAGCACAGCCGAAACACATCCCGAGCACGTCCAAACAGCTCCTCTTCCCCCTTCCCCCCCTGCTCTTCGGAGGTCGCCGGACGCCCAAGAAGAGCCTCCCCCGAACGCCCAGCACCCTCGATCCGAGATCCTCTTCCCCTGTCCTCGAACCGCAATCCTCGATCCTCTCTGCAGGCGTCCAGCGCATCAAGCGGTTCATGACGATCATGGACTCGATGACGGACGAGGAGTTGGACTGCAAAAAGGCGCCCCTCTCTCTCCTCGCCGCTTGCCTGTTTGCGCCTCGCGGGTTCCCGTGGTGAGCTGACTGGGGCGAAGATGCATGTCAGGCGGAAGGCACGGGATGTGATGGCGATGATGGTGGTGGTGTTGGTGGCTGTGGCGATTGTAGTGGTGGCGGTGGTGATGGTGGTAGTGGTGGTAGCGACGAAGCTGACGGTTGTGGAGGTGCATCTTGATGTTGATGTTGATACCGTCGTTGACGAGGATGGTGATGACGAGGATGACGATGATGATGATGATGATGATGAAGATGATGATGATGATGATGATGATGATGATGATGATGATGATGCTGATGATGATGATGATGATGATGATGATGCTGATGATGATGATGATGATGATTGTGGTGGTGGTGGTGATGATCGTGGTCGTGGTGGCGATGGTAGTGACAATGCTATTGATGATTATGATGATGATGATGATGATGATGATGGTGGTGGTGGTGGTGATGATGACGACGATGATGCTGATGATGATGATGATTATGATGATGATGATGATGATGATGATGATGATGATGATGATGATGATGATGATGATGATGATGATGATGATGATGATGATGATGAGGATGATGGTGGTGATGATGATGATGATGATGATGATGATGATGAGGATGATGGTGGTGGTGATGATGATGATGATGGTGGTGGTGATGATGATGATTATGACGATGCTGCTGATGATGATGATGGTGGTGGTGGTGGTGATGATGCTGCTGTTGCTGCTGCTGCTGCTGCTGATGATTTTGCTGATAACGATTCTGAGAAAATTGATGGTGTTGGTGATGATGGCGTTTGGGTATTAAGTTGACGGTTATCATTCTATTGCTGAGGTGATGGTGATGGTGGTGGTGGTGATGACGATAGTGATATTGACGATGCTGGTAACGATTATGATGATGGTTATGATGCTGACCACGACGACGATGATGTGGCAGTGGTGATCGTGATGGTGCTGACGGTGATAGGTACAAAGATGATGAGGAGGGGGGGGAGGACGCTGAGGCCTTCGGCCCATCCTGCCCCCGTGCCCTGGGTCTGGGCCAGGGTCCTTACGGATGTCTCTTGGGGTCTCTGCGGAGGCCTCTTGTGGACCCCTTGGGGGCCTCTTGGGGGCTTCTTGGGGGCCTCTTGGGGGCCTCTTGGGGGCCTCGGGAAGTGTCGGCGGGGAGACCACGAAAACACGCGAGGGTCGCTTCCGCGAGTTCTGGCGCCTGCTTGGTCTGGGCCCATGCCTGCCACCCATACACGCTCGGCAACGCACGGTCTGTCGCGCCAGCCGGCAAGGCGGGACAGAGTGATAAGTGCTTGCCGCTGCCGCCCGTACCCCGCAGCTTAAAGCACAAAGTTTAACACATTTCTGCGCGACGGGTGACTTCTGGGATACTCGGCCCCGTCCTGCACGCGATGTTAGCGCCAGCGTTCGAAGTACTGGGGGTGTGCGGCACGTGTGGTGCGTGGTCTGGTTGTCCTATGAATGCAGTGCCGCAGCTGTCGTGTGAGAAAGGGGATGGAGGAGAATGGGAGGGGAGCAATCAAAGGCAGGAGAAGGACGAGGAAGATGTGGAAGGGAGGGGGACGCGGGGCGCTGTGCAGAACGCGTTGCTGGACAAGGACCTCTCGCGCATCATCAGAGTGGCGAAGGGTTCCGGCACGCACCCGATGGTGGCCTCTTTTCGCTGAGCGCGTCCCACTACTCGCAAAGTGCCTACTCGCAGACGTCCAAACTATACAGGTCTTCCTCTATGTAATATATCGTAAATCCCACGCGGCGGATCCAGGCCATTTGCGAGTAGTTGATTTGCGTGTAGTGGAACGCGCCTGTCCATCTCTTGCCTTCTTGCACATGCTGGGGCACACTTCGGAGCCCTCCTCTCTCTTCTCCTCGGGGTGGATGAGGACGAGGACGAGGATTGAGGAGGAGGAAGAGGAGGTGGAGGAGGAAGAGGAGAAGGAGGAGGAGGAGGTGGTGGAGGAGGAGGAGGAGGAAGATGAGAAGGATGATGCGGATTAGGAGGTGATGGGAGAACGCCAACTATCCGCGTAACACTGATTCTTGGCCAGCCCTTGGGCCAGTTTGGGGTCATCTTGTGGCCTCACATCCCTGTGGGAAGCCGCAAGGGCGAGAGCGCGAAGGTAGTCGAAGAACCACATGTTCCCCAAGCAGTGCTTACACTTCGTTTTTTTGGGGGCCTCTAGGGACCTGGCCCTGTCTCCCAAGGTCGGCCGTGGGTGCGTGGCCTCCCATGGCCTCCCGCGGCTTTGCCCTCCATGGCTTCCCCAGGGCTTCCCTTGTGCTTGCGCAGGGCTTCTCGCTCCACCGGCGCTGCTTCCCTTGGTCGGGACGTGGGTGATTGCCTCCCGTGGCTGCCCTGTGGCCCTCCGCCCTCTGGTCCCGTGCTTTTCTTCCAGTTGCTGCTCGGACTCTCACGGCCTCTGGCCTGAGGCCTCCCATGGCCTCCCATGCCGTGACTGCGGCTTCCCGCCCCGCCGTCCGCGCTTGTTCGGTGGCAAATCATGGGAGCCTTGTGTACCCTCTTCATTCCGTCTTTAGCTTCGATTGGCGTCGATAAGCGTTTGGGAGTCGATGAGATAGCGCCGATTTAGCGTCGGCCAGCGTCGATTGGCGTCGATTTAGCGTCGATGAGCGTCGATTTAGCGTATATGAGCGTCGATTCGCAAGAGCCGACAAGGTGGTATGGGAGGCTCCCACGAGTTGCCACGAAACGCCTGTTTCGGTGGCCGCTCGGCCCTGGTTGGCCTCCTGCGGTTCGGCCTCCCTGTGGCCTCCCTGCTGCCACCCGCCCCGCCGCCGGCGTGGCCCGCGCGGCCGTGGCCGGCGCAGCTCTGCCTCCTGCGCCTGCAGCTCCCCGCCGCCTGCCCCGCCCCGCTCCTCGGCGGCCGCCAGGCCTCCCCACGCCCTGCCTTCCCGTGGGAGACCCGCTCAGGGCATCGTTTCGGTTCCTCCGCTGCGACTCGCTTCGATTCCGAGGGATTCCGACCCCGATTCGATTCGACCCGGGATTCCGATTCGGATTCCGATCTCTGAGTTGAGGCCCGCTGGCCTGCCGATTTCCGCCGATTCGACTTCTCCTGGCGCCTCCTGCCGACTTCTGCCGATTCGAGTCGTGTCGATCGCCGATCCGATATGTCGATCCGGTTTTCTGGGCTCGCCTGCCCGCGACCAGGTGAGCCCGTTAGCTGCACTCGCACGCGCGCGAGCTCCTGCGCGCTTTCGGCCTGAGGAGGAGGAGGAAGAGGATGAGGGGGAGGAGGACGCAGAGGAGGAGGAGGAGGAGGCGGAGGAGGAGGAGGAGGAGGAGGAGGAGGAGGAGGAGGAGGAGGAGGAGGTCCCCGCTCCTCCTGCGCCTCCGCGGCCGCAGGCCGAGGGGATGTCCTCGCTATCCTCGTCCTCCGTCCGCCTCCTCGCACTCCTCCTGTCCTCCTCGTCTCCATCCCCGCTCCTCCTGCGCCTCCGCCTCCCCAGGCCGAGGGGATATCCTCACTGACCTCGTCCTCCGTCCGCCTCCTCGCACTCCTCTCGTCCTCCTCGTCTCCATCCCCGCTCCTCCTGCGCCTCCGCCTCACCAGGCCGAGGGGATATCCTCGCTGTCCTCGTCCTCCGTCCGCCTCCTCGCAATCCTCCGTGCCCCCTCCTCGTCCACAGAGCAGGGCGAGGAGGTCGATGCTGAGCAGAGCGACTCGCCCGAAGACGAGAGGGCATGGAGGGTGGGAGCAGACGGACTCACCCAAGAACGAGGAGGGAATGCCTCCATCTCGGGTGAAGGAATTCGGTTCCCTTCTCCCTCCTGCCATCTTGCCCTGAGCGGGTCTTTCGCTTCTCTCGTGCCGCTCGCACTGCAGCCTCTGGTGTGGACTCGAGGTGGCAGGGTGGAATTGGAGATTGCCCCACATCGCCGTGTTTCCAATCGTTGCTGGCTCTTGCGCAGTTCACTATGTATGCATCTCCTACGTTCGTCTCAAAGACTTGTCCCTGCACCTCGGCGGGGTCGAGCCGTGATCGCTCCACGAGATTCCACGCGCCGTAACCTTTGGACCGCCTTGGACACACACGGAGATCCACACTCTTTGTGATTGGCAGCGAGTCGCGAGGAGTCCTCGCGATTCCCGACGCACCAGAGCGAGCCAAAGTGCGCAGCAGCGGATGTCCGACGCACTACGGCGAGCTAAAGAGCGAGCTAAAGTGCGACGCACTCGAGCGAGCTAGAGAGCGGCTGATTGACCAGGAACAAGACAAGACAAGCAGAACCCCCCCCATCGCGCACCAGGAGGGTCCTAGGGCAGGACGGAAATCTCCTCGCCGGGGCAAACCCACGGCCTCGACGTCTGCCGCGCGGAGATCTCCCCGGGACGAGGACGAAGGCTCCCCTGCCGGAGATCTCAAGTGGGTACCCGCGCATATGAGGATCCACAGACATGGGATTCCTCACGCGTGGGGCTCCACCCGGCGTTCTGCGCTCTCCTTGGACAGGGCGTGTTCTACACTTTTGGAGCGAACGAGCTGCCTGGGCCCGCGCGCTGGCTCCCTTCCCCTAAGAGCACCCCACGCGATAAGGGGGGGTCCCACCTGCGTCGCGAGAGCCGGCTCCTGAGCTCCACGAGTGCACCGAGGGTGTGCCGCCCACGTGCCGTGCCGGGCCGTGCCGTGTCGTGCCGTGCATCGACTCGCCGTGGGGTTGCTGTTCAGGGCCTCTATACAGGGCGGTTTTTAATACATAGGATTTTTAAGAATATAGGATTTTTAATCCATGATTAATTTATGAGTAGAGTTATGCATGAACTCATCGTTGTTTTTAATACTAAATCCCCGCATTTTTAATACATGATCCGCACGCGGACCATGTATTTAAAACGGCACTGTATGCTGGTGCAATGGTATGACCTTGCCTCCCAGAAACATCGGTTGGAGATTCGGTGGTGGGCCTTCTCGGGGCATTCTGGAGCAATGTTGGAGACCATCTGGGCCAATTTCGGCCATCTTGCACCATCTTGTAGGTCACCTCGGGCGGCTGTGTGAGTCCATGCCGTGCAGCCATCTGGGGCAATCCCGACACTCGACGTGACCCGTCTGCAACCTCCCTAGTCCAGACCTCCAGGTAAGGTGCAGGGTGAGGTACCCCTCCTGAGGGGTATGACAATGGTTGTTTTGGAAGAGCTGGTGCCGTGAACCACCTACGTGACCTACGTACAGAGTGCCATCTTGCACCATCTTGTAGGTCACCTCGGGCGGCTGTGTGAGTCCATGCCGTGCAGCCATCTGGGGCAATCCCGACACTCGACGTGACCCGTCTGCAACCTCCCTAGTCCAGACCTCCAGGTAAGGTGCAGGGTGAGGTACCCCTCCTGAGGGGTATGACAATGGTTGTTTTGGAAGAGCTGGTGCCGTGAACCACCTACGTGACCTACGTACAGAGTGCTGGTTGGATTGTCAGGGCGACTTGATGGGAAGTTGGACATGCAGGAAGAGGGAAGATCAGCTAAAATGAGATGAAACGGGGGGCGAGATGGGAGTGGATGGCGATGCTGGCGCAGACACAGCAGCAACGTAGGAACAGAGCCGCCATTGCAGGCGGTGGCAGAGCTTCTTCAAGAGCACAAGCGCTTCGAGAAGATGGTGGGGAAGATGGGCAAGGCTGCCCTCTGGCTGCTTCACCTTGGTCGGCGGGGGGACCAGGTTGATGGGGAGGGGGG